CCACTTTCACTAGATTAAGTTGCTAGCCATGCTATCAGATAGCTAACGAGCTATGCGTTAGCTGGCTGATGCTAGGCCCATTTGCACTGGTTCAATATTGCTATATTGCACAGTTATTATTATATTGAATTAAGATTTTATTACCTCGGAAATGTGGAGGGAAATTGTTTCCGCTGAATCCGTCTGACCACGTACCCAAAGCGAATAATCCTTTGGAGATTGATGCTGGCTAGATTTCCCAGCAGCAGCAGCAGTTTGCACCTGACTGAGGAGCTAACACGTTAGCACGACCAGCGACTAGCCGCTAAGCAAGCCAAGTTCGTTTACAACACCGCTGCTCTGTTTAAATAGGTGCACTGCTCGAACTTTTGACTTGGTTCTTCCTCTGGATGACTAATGAAGGTCTCCGATTATTACACGAGGAAAATCACACCCGCTGATACCACGCTGCGGGTCAGTTGCGGGTGATTTTGTCGTTCACAGGCTCCTCAAGAAACGTCAGGTTTGTTCATCTCCTGGCTGCTCTCGACCGACTGGAAAAAGTGGGTGTCGCAACGTGATGATGAAACGTTTTTGTTTGCTTCAATGCGCGCAAATGTGACGTCGTAGTAAGGACTATTTGTACGGCAGGCCGGTGGAAAATATAATCAAAGAACAACGCTTTAGTAATTTGTCACTTTGACAAGTGACAAATTGTTTTAAAATATTTGTTTAAAATGGCAAATTATTGGCTAATCTTTTAATTCGGTGTTTTTAAGTTTTGTTTCAGATATTCACAGTCTTCAGTCTAGATAAGCAGAATGTACTTATGGATGTCAGCAGCCAAAAACCAAAAGAGTCTAAAGAATGATGTAGTTTCTGAAAGGAAGAAAATATTTTATATTTCTTTAACTCTGGTTGTGAAAAGGAACGATGATAGTCTAAATAGCTATTTTTTTCCCAAACACGGAACAGATTTATGGATATCTACTTTAATGTTTTCAAATATTATATGATAAAAAGACTTACCATAAAGGTGGAAAACAGCAGGAAAATTATAATAGTAATAGTATAGAATAGTATAAAATTATAACTGTGAAAGAAAGTAATGTTTTTATTTAAAAAAGCTATGTATTTGACCAAGTTTTAATTCACCTATTAATATAAATTAAACCTCTTTAGTTTTTTTTCTTTAAATCATATTCTTTATGTAATTTAATTTATTTTGTATTAGAATAAAAATGATGTTTGGAACATGGAGTATTTAAAATATATG